GTTGCCGGCGTGATCCAGCCAATAGCCCTGAAAAGCACCCAGATCTCTCGTGGGACAGATTCGAGGACATCACTCGGGGTATGGGGGTTATCTAGTACTCATAGAAGCCTGGGTCGTTTTATAAGGGGCGCTGTCGCGTGGTGGTACAACGCGCGCCACCATAGGCCCGAGTTCGGGTGGTGTTGTGTTGTGCATTTGTCGCTCCTCCGTGGTCGTCGGACGTTCTTCCGGCTTCGCACTATGGGCCGTTGTCGATGGGGATATCACTCTATAAGGGGATCGATGAGCCGCGTATGCATTATAGTGTGGTTTCTAAGGTACAGGATAGCAAACAAGCACGCAACAGGAATACCGGGGTCGTGAAAAAAAAACAAAGGCAGAGCGTAGCTGGAGACCCAGGCGGTTATTTACAGCAATTCTTGCCCCGAGATCCAGAGCGGTCAGCAGATGTGGATATGATAAGCATCGATTAAGGGCCTGCCAATCTGGTAGTGAGTTTCTGGAATATATGTGATATGACACCACCACTCTCGTTGAAAGCATCCTCTCCGCTGAAGCCCAACCTCACACTCCCAGAGCACGCGCACAGCCGAGCAAGGTCGCCAGTGCTGCTACCACCTACTTGAGGAATTGCGTTGTTCCCGACAAGTACTACGGTCTCCCTGTCAGACGCCCTCATTATGCTGGCGGAAGCGGCGAGCGTTGGAAGCAATTCCATCCCACCGCTCCGCGCCCGAAGTTCCACGATCCCAGAAAAGCTCCGTGGAATCAGAAGTGAGATATTACCTACAACATGGGAATGTCAGTATTGATGTTTTTGATTAATCCACCGATAATAAAGGAGAAGCTCAGTATGGTGCGAGTATGGTGCGAGCACATCCCCCCCGTTTTGGATATTCACATACACTAATGGACAGTTGGGTCTTTAACTTACCAGACCGAGAATATGCATCGAAATGAACCATCCTCGTGGGGGATTTTGAGACCTATACGGTACCGCGATGTCAGACGATGGCAACTTCGACCAGTGGCAAGCTGCCACTTGTCAATCTGAGATTAACTCACGAGTTCTAAGACAATGTTGCCACTGCGCGTTGTGGCGCGAATGGTCGCAGTCGCGGTCATGGCCGATTCCCCAGCCACGCGGAGGGCCGCCGAGATGTTGCCATGTCGAGACTCTAACTTGGCAGTTGGAGTTCCCAGTGTCATATTGCGGAAGCGGCGTGGTCTCCGCCCAGCGCGATGTGCAACAATTGTCTGCAAAATGGAGGTTCCCGAAGATTGCGGGGCTAACGGATCGAGCAGCCAAGAACCTAGGGAATGAGGTAAGTTAAGACTGTGCGCCCCGCATCTATCCTGACACCCCCACACACCTCTGATGGGTTCGATAATCGTGAAATGTTCAAACCATTGGTGGGAACATCGGATGGTGGAGTTACGACCGGAAGCGTGAGGCCCGAAGAAGACGCGACTACGATAGCCGATGAAGTGGACGCGTCTCTTGACGAAGAATATGCAGGTGGGCCTGGTAGAAGATCAGACTCGGGAGCACCCTACGGGCCCGAAGAGTTAGGCGCGCTGTTGACGGAGGTTAGAAACCGTGAACCCACGTATTCAGCAAGTCCCCTCTTCTCATTACGAGCACCCTTGGCGTCTTCGTCGTCAAAGATCATTTTCAAGGGAATTAATACAGAAGTTGGATGGCTGCGAGTGTTGGTTGGGGAATGGCGGTACCACGATGAGACACTGGCAAACGCGCAAAGCAGGCCTGTTTATAGACCATCACTTCAGGGACCCTGCAATCACACGAGCCGTTGCGCAGTTACTGTCACGCAGTTCAATTCTGACAGCCGGTGGAGAGAGTGCACGGGTGCAGTGTGCTGCGGCAAGTATGAGCGCCGGTTGACCATGTGCAAATTCAATTAGGTGTACACCCGCCGGCACCAGACTCACTCCAGACTCGGAGGTCGGAGGTTGCACATGGCCGCGTTTAAAGTTTGCAGCAACATTCCACCGTTCGATGAGCAAATGATTCCTTCTGACATGGAAGTTCACATTCCTGTACGTTCCACAGCAACCCCGGAGCGGAGCAACAGCATGCCATTGCTTTCATCAGTTTCATGGTCGCCAGTTGATCATCGATCATCAATCGCAGGAGTCGGGAGCTATATAGGTCACGGTCACACGCTTCCTTGGCAGACGATCTAAAAATAGGCGCACTGGCACTACTTTCATCCCACCCTCATCCCGTCATCCCGCTGCGATACTGTGATACTGACGAATCATTCACGAAGCATGCTAACTCCTCATCCAATTCCGAGTTCACTTTAGGCGCGGCCGTCATACATAGCAAAGTGCAGCCCAGAGCCATCCTGTCAAACTAAGTACAGTACGTCATCGAGAAAGAGACATTCTCATTCTGTATTTTGTATTGCCAATACCGTGGAGATGCAGAATGAGTTACCTACTACGGTGTAAGGTGCTTGTCTGCATCGCGGGTATGGGAGCTGCAAGTGTTTTGAGGGAAGAGGCCGTTGCAAAATTCATGCAGTGTCACTGAGAGGCCGGAAATTTCCGCTTACACTATAGTATGCTTCTGGCATACGGTTCCTCAGATCGACTCGGACGACACCATAACACGGTACAGAACTCTGGGAAAACCTTTCGAGGTACCTCACGCTCAGATGAAATGATGTTGACTAACTCTCTGATGGCGCCATGTCAACCCCATCTGGTATACAGTAGGTGAAGAAACATTTCGAGGGTCCATTCATTCCGATTAGGATAAAGTACCCTTAAACTCAGCTTTGACCCCAGGCGACCGGCTCGACAGAATTGCGTCGTTGACCCCTCAATTCCCCCCATGCAATTGGTTCAGGTTGGGAGATGAACAGTCCAGACGAGGGAAGACACCCCAAAATCGGCTTTAGGGTGCATAGAAACCACAACAGCAAGAATTCAAAAGATTGTCGAATCATTCGCGTGTACGCGGCCAATCGTGGAATATTGAATTTCGTCCAAAATGAGTCGAAATTTTTATTTACATGCATCTATTATCGCTACCAGAGGAGAAGCAGGCAGTCACGATACCCGACAGCACTACAGCCATGATCGACACCACCGCTGATTAAGACCAACGATAAACCAATTAGGCGCATTTGGGTCATGTACTTCCCAGGGCGGTGACAACACACCCTGGCGCGGTTTGAGGGCCAGTGTCAAATGAATGAACGTGGAAGGTACTCGCAAACGTGGGAAAAGAATATAATAGTGGGACGATAGTGCAGTGATAGTGGGCCCCGAAGTAAAAAAAAAACACGAAGTACTAAGTGGTACAATGTAATATAACAAACATACACACATAAAGAAACATCATACTAGTATCCCAACCATAAGCTCTGTCCAACGAGACAGAGTCGCGAGTCATAATCGTCGAAGTGCAATTTTGCGTTAATGTGACTTCTGGAAAGCCGGCATTATGAGCTTCTGCATCAATTTTATGGCCTGGTCCATTAGCCCAGGAGTCTCTACGACGTAGTCTTCGCCGCTGAATCCCAGCCTCACACGCGCATGACGAGAGTGGATCCGAGCGGTATCGGTGATGATATCAGAGCCCACAGCGGGCATTGGGCCATCGCCCAGGAGAATAGTAGTTTCTTTCTTCCTCCCCTTTATCACGCGGGCGGAAGCCGCCAGGGCTGGAAGCATCTCCACCGCACCGTGACGGGAAGAGATCTGGACAAGGCCACTGAAACTCCGTGGAATGAGTAGAGTGATGGTACCTGCAGTATCGGACAGTCAGCCTCAAAGTCATCTCACAAAGCACCGAAGGGGCCCAATGTTAGAAAATAGAGAACAAACGCACCTCTACGTGACATTAAATCAATGTGTACTGTCCTCATAGGGGCGATAGAGGCCTGGGACAGGGTCAGTCCGATGACATGTGATGAAAACTGAACTATTGCTATAGACTGACCACATCGAAGAAAATGTTACCTCCACGCGTCTTTGAGCGAATCGTCGCAACGGCACGGAGAGCCGACTCTCCGACAACGCGGAGCGTTGCATGTATATTGCCGTGACGGGAGTTAAACATGGCAGTGGGTGGTACCTTCTTCTTTGAGAAATAACCACAGCGGTGCTTCCTTTCGCCCCGACCGTCAAGGAACATTTGTACAAGATTCTGCGCAGGTATCTGGGGAGCCTGGGGATCGAGTGACCAAGAACCTGTCCGGTATTTAAGAACTTGGATTACGATGACTGTAGTTGTTGAACCCACCTCGTATTGTATCCCATTTCGTGTACATATGTAGGCCGTTGACTGGTGCATTGAACGGTACCACTCCTTGCCTGCTTCTTGAGAGGGATACCACCCGATTCGGAGAGCCTAAGGAGGTAGTCTGGGTTGCCTGGGAGTAGGCAGGGGGACTATCCTCAGGGGCAGAGCTGGTGGAAGCCTACATCAATCAGAGGTCAAAAACAAAACTTTGTGTTGTGGAACGAAAATGAACGTACCGGCCCAGCTTCAGTCCCCTTTGAGAGTTGATCCAAACTGGTCACCTTCGTGGTGTGGTCAAGCCGCTCGAGAATCATGGTTAGGGAAACGAGAGAGTTGGATGACTTCGGCTGAAGTGACCAAGTTGGTGTGGGGATGGCCCTTGTCTCCTTGTAAGTTTATTATAGACAGGGAGAGCTGCTGCGCATTGATCAATGTTGGGAAGAGGGCGCCCATACTGTACCTGCCGTGTGCATGCGTGGTGACTGATGCTGTGCATCATAGCGCTCGGCAGATGCATGTCATCTACAATTTATGTAAGTACCATCCCTTTGAGTAAAAACCATTCAATTGATCAAAAAAACATATAGCTGCGCGTGTACTGCAATTGATGGAGATCGGACAGCGCCAGATGAAGCGCAAGCGCGCGTGCTGGAGCGCTTCGTATCATGTTATCATCGCCATTCACTGTAATATAAAATATGGCGATGGACAAAAAATAACAGGGCCTGGCCGGGAATTGAACCCGGGACCTCCTCCAGATGACCAACAGCCCTAAGAAGGAATCATACTACTAGACCACCAGGCCAATAAATTGGGTTTCATTTCGGTCAATAGTAATTGACTACTTACCAAGATGGAAAGCTCGCCAATTGTCAGCCTCCATGTCGCAGTCGCAGCAGCAGCATCCTGCTTACTCGGACACAATCCCTAGTTTCTCTTGTCCTCCGCCCATGCACTGAGAGAATCAACCCTATCGAGGATGTCTGCCTCTTTCTGGTTGGACAACTCTTATGATTCGATCTTCTTTGCTCCCTCGAACAGCTTGTCTTCGCGCTCATCGACCGATTCACTCAACATCGACAACATTGCGGCTCTCAATAACTATCCTTCTCTTCTTCTGCCTTCGCACAGTCTTGATTCTTTGCCTCTTTGCGATATCGAACTCATCAAGGCTCCGCCATGCCCCTCGAGTACGCCGCGACGGAAAAGGTCTCAGCATACCTTCCTGTCGCTCATGGCCTCTCTTGCCGTCCCAAAGGGTAATCACCCCAACAAGAAGTATGCCAACGTACTCGTTTCCTCTCCGACGCCGCAACGCCTGAAGAACATCCCGCAACTCAAACCGGCGTTAAGGACCTGGATTGTGAGCATTGACTTGCCCCTTGGGTCATGTTGTTGATTAGTTTTCTAGTCCGGCGTTCCCAGATCAAATCCCCCTGATATGGCTCCTTGGTCTCCTCCCCATGAGAAGCCATACTATGTCTGGGTCCCTGAGGGTTCCTGCTTTCCTCCTTCATATCTCAAGCGCTATCTTCGTGGGCGCTTTGGTCCGGTCGCCACTCGCCCGTCATCTACTCCCAGTAAATCTCGTCCGGTTTCTACCTCGAAACTCATCGAGCGTACTGAGTCTCCGTCTCCATCTCTGTCTCGTCCACTTCGTCGCTGTGCCTCTCATTGTACACCTCATCCACGCGTGCCAGACTGCACGCCTGCATACATCCCGCTTTCGTTTCCGCCTGTTCGCACCCACGGAAGACCACGTCGCTGGTCTCTTAGTGTTCCGCCGAGCTACCTTGGTACAGAGATTATTACCCGTCGCCTCGAGTCACAGCGGATCGATGCCATCACGGTTGCTGAGTCCGCTCAATCTGATGCATCGAACGATGACCCGTCTCTGCCTCTGCCTGCTATCAAGGTATCTACGTCGACTGCTACCATCGCAATATCTTTTCCAGGCTCTCCTGAACACCTTACACCTACTCCCGAACCCCTTGCCATCCGGCGTGGCCAGAAGATGCTTTCTCCCCTCAAGGTGCACTCTGCGCAGCGTGCGGTTGAGGAGTATCCAGGCATCCCTACTGCTTTTCTTGGCACACCATCCGCATACTCGCCTCATTTCCAGTTTACTTCTTCGATTGCGCAAGACGACGCCAAGTCTATACCGATCGGTGACATGATCAGCGCACTACGGTCTCGGGCTGCTAGCCTGAAAGTTTCATCACCTGCAGAAGACTGTGCTCCTCTGCTAGACATACCGCCTTCTTCGGCCAATTCTCTTTCAGCGTCATCCTCGGACATTGCCCCAAGCGTCAGCGAGGACGATTGGGCATTTGCACAGGACTTGATGTCGCGTTACGGCGATCGTGCTCAGGATAAGATGCCGAATAAAGCAAAGCATCGCCAGCAACAAGCTTCTTCTGAAAGAAAGTCTCATGTGCCTAGGCCCCGTTCAGCGACAACTAGCAGAGTGCAGCGTGCTTCGGTCCCTGCCGCTTCGTCTACTCCGAACAATCGACCAAAGTCAAGTTCAGCCCCTCAGACTGACCTTCTCAAGCCCAGACCCGGCACGGGTATCTCAAGACAACGCAAAGATTATATAGGAACTACGAAGCATGCATCCCATCCGGAATCTACGCCCAGTCTGCCACTTAGACTGTCATCTCCCGTCACGCCCAATAATTCGCGGGCTCTCCATCCGAGCCTTCAAATAACTTACGGAGCGAACACTCAACCAAACGTCCTCCCGGGATATTAAAGCGCGTGAAGAGTGTCCGCTTCGCAGACATGCCAAAGCCAGAGGACGCCAAGGACATTGTGCCATCGGAAAGACAGCCCCGTACGAGCACATCGAAAGATGCTGGGGGTTCTCCACCACTTCAACCATCCCCTCTGCGTACATGCTTTATGCCTGAAGAATTGGAGGTCCAGACCCCGTCGAGACAACCGCCTGCTACCCCGACGACAGAGGAGTCCACCCAAGTATTCACAGTGGATCGACGCGGTTCTGTTCAGCTGGCTCCTTCCCGGACTGTGAATTTGCATAGCTCTACGTTCAACCCGCCGTCACTTCCCGCTACTCCATGTTTGTCTGACAAATCTTCATTGTCCAAGAGTCACGGGTCTCGCGCACCAAGGAGACTCTCGCTGCTCGTCAGGGAGCGCGACAAAGATAAGGAGAAGGAGAACAGTCCGCTTGCGTTGCGTGCACAGAGACGCGCGAGAAGGCACACGGAGGTCGACGAGAATGCCACACGGCGTGCCTCTCGTGGGAGTCGCAAGCACAGATTATCGAGTCCATTGAAGTCGTTTCTTGAGCGGCTGCGAGCATAAACGAATGCATTTTAGACATCATTTTAGACATCATTTTTTGTGGCACACTGTTACATGGTATATTGTATCCCATATCGCCTCTGTATTTCGTTAGTATAGGATTATTTTTACGTTGAGCACACCCGAGACTCGGAAGGACTGAAATCTACTAGCATGTGACGACTCGGATGCAACGCGACGCGACTGTTCTGCCCCAACCACCTTGTCACCGCAGCCAGTTCACACACCTTACAAAACCCCCGAATAGCAACGTATCATACTTCAAGTCTCCTATGCAATGCCGCGGGGCATCCCCAACGTCAAACGCGATGAGTCGCAAGGGATGCGCTACACGACCTTTCATGTGCCCCCACAGTATGTCCCGATCATCTAACACAATGAACCCCATACCAAAACTGTCCCTTCAGACTCAACCCGAAGCACATGAGCACGTCATATCTCAAATCGGAGAATAATAGCATGTGGGGCCGGAAGGCAGCGCGAAGCAAAATGACGACGGACGACCAACCACCAGAAGTGCGTCTGCGTCTGCATCTAGCTTGCCCATCTGACAGCGCCCTCTGACTATATGTATGATTGTGCTTTATGGATGTGGATTGGCCCGGGTAGGGACGACGCGGTTCGCACGTCGTCGTTATACACCTTGGCTCGCGGTTTTTGCGTGTTGGGCGTGCGTCCGACGTTACGCCCGTAACCGTACCCAATGTTATCGCGCGCAAGACCATCAATGCACCCGCACCTACGTGCGTCAAGGGAATTTCGCGCCCGCGGAAGAGCCATGCGCGGGCGCTGTCACCATCGTCAACCAGCAACGATGAATACACCGTGGCCCGCGGGCCTGATGATCCAGTGCGTCCCGCTCTGTTCTCATCCTAGCCCTGGTCTACCTTTCTCAGATTGTGCGTGTTGAGGCTGATGCTGACGGCGCGTGATGGCAATGGTAGTTTGATGAAAAGTTAGAAGTGATACAGGTGTCTTTGCGTGATCGCATGCGATTCTACAAGCTTCGCGTCACGCCCGATGCTGCGATCAAGGCTGCGACGTTCAATGAGCAACTCAAACCCGAACTCATACCAGAACAGAACGATCCGTTCTGTGTGGACTGGATTCATGACATCGCAGGTGAACCTTATTATGTTGGGGAGAAGGTGCGCCTGGCTCTTTCTGACTGTCTCAGAACGGGGGTTTCTGACACTGTGTTCGGCAGGCACTAAGGCTGCAGATCCCGAAAAGCAGGGATACATCGTGAGATGGCCGATTTGGGGTTCCAGATTCAACACGCGAGATTACCCGTCAAACGCCATGATTATTGACGACATCGAAACATACTCGAGACGAGCTTGCAAAACTCACTTAATATTAATCGTCGGGAGTATAAGGTGTCCTTCCTTTCGGAATAGGGGTGCGCATATATATTGAAAAATACCGAAGGACTATCCGCTGTGCTGGTGATTCCCGATTACTATGATCGGCCATACGTCCGCGACATGGTTCAACTGTTGCTAATCCGCATGGGATTCAAGCAGCTGTGCGTTCAGCAGGTACTCCCGAGTTTTCCTCAGTAAGGGACTACTGATGAGCTGGCTAGGAATCACTGGCTGCTACGTATGGCGCCGGAATATCCAGCGCTTGCGTTGTCGATATCGGTGCTACAACTGTGAGTATCGCGTGCGTAGATGAAGGTATGGTGATACCCGAAACAAGGTAAGACTTATTGCTCTATGTTCGTGATCCGATCTCATTGAAGCTGCCAGGATAAGCCTGAATATGGGAGGGGACTACATTACCGAGTTCTTATATGTCCTACTGGAGAGAATCTGCTTCCCATACAGGGACATAGATCTTGCTCGATCCTATGATTGGCATGTGTTGGAGGACCTGAAAAGTCGACTCTGTACTCTTACGGAGGTATGATTAGAATTTCCCTTCTCCTCGGCCGAAATTTGTTGACGTGGCAAGCAAACAGGAGAATGTGGCCCTCAATCTTTACGACTTCGTTGTGAGGCGCCCGAAACGGCCAGCAGAGAAGTACGGCCTACGTGCTTACGATGAAATTATTCTGGCACCTATGGTAGCTCTGGTTCCGGTTGTCTCATGTCTCCAACACATGCTGACCTCACGCTCATGTAGTGCCTATTTGAACCCCGTGTGATCGACTTCGAGGAATTAAAGCAGGGTGGGCGACCATCACAGAATCCCGGCGTTTCAGAAGACATCATCGAGATACGCGAGCCACGCGATGCACTGATGGAGAAATACGTCCGTAGATCTGACCAAGTCACGGATGTGGTAGTGATACTGATTTTTTCTCAGACCCAAGCGATGATTATTTCCACGCAGCACCTCTTCGCACGGAACCTTGCGGCTCTAGAGAACGCCACTGGCCAGTCCCAAAACCTGGATGCTCCGGCATCGGGCCAGCAGACCCCATTGGCTAATGCAACAGCAGCACAGGTCGGAGACGTGGTGTCCGAG